ACAGTAATTCAGTATTTGCATTAAAAATTCTTAAAATTATTTCCTCTGGGTCAACTGACCAAATGTGATGCTCTGAAATAGCTGTGTTCCCTTTTAGACTGTTTTTGATTACTTGAAAGTTGCCTTAAAATTTCAATTGAAATATAAATTATCTTTCTTTATATAAAGAGCCAAAGATAAGAAAAATAATTCCAGGTAATTGAGATAACAGTAAATTTTATGGCTTATCTAGCAGTCAAAGGCATTCAAGATTCAAGCAGGATGATGGAGAAGAGAATCCTTCGTCACTCTGTGTTTCTTTGAAGGAGCTGGTCCAGTAATTGCTAGGAAAAAAAAATGCAAAACACCGTTAAGATACCATTAAAATACATGAGGTGGCTATAACTGTAGAAATCTTCAGTGATACTGTAGGTGAGATGGTATTAGCATTCTCAGACCTCAAATCTACTGGCTACATTGCTCAAAAAAAAAAAAAAAAAAAGGCACCAGTGAGGAGAGGCTGATTTTTCCCCGAGTTTCACTCAGAGCTGAGCAGCAGCTGAGCTTCTGCTCTAAAATGTCTCAGTTTCCTGCTTTTGTCTGTATGGACTCCTGACGTAGGCACGCGGGGTATGTGGTGTCAGAGGCTCTGTCAGGCTCTGGAGCTGAGCTGCCCCGAGTCCTGAAGGGAGCACAGGCACGTGAGCCCTGCGTGCTTGTAACCGGACCTGTTTGGGTACAACTTCTGCCATCTGCTCCGGTGCTCTGAAACACTGTTCTGCTAAATTGACAGAGGACGGGACAGGGGGGGCGTGAGCTACTTCTAGAGCTTTACCGGTAGGTGATCTGCCGCTGGACAATGTATTGGTCCATAAATCTGCATTCTGAAATGAAACAGCAATGCTTCTTAAAAATAGATTTCTCTTAGTTACAACTTGTTAACTATTTATTCTGTTTAATTTTTCAACCACGAACAGATTGACCAGATATTAATTCATCAGCAAATGGAACTTCTTGAGAGTAAGTGCAAAGTTTTTATAGTGGAGAAATGTTTAAATCTAGTAATCCCAAGAACAGTAAAATTTAGACTTTCTTGGACACTACGTGTTTAAGGTGGGTCACCACCTTTCTCTTTCCTGCCTCTGTTATCTGTTTCAATTCCTGCAGAAGTTGTGGAGGAGAGGAAGGAGAAAATAGGAGGGCAGAGGATTTTTAGCAGGTTCTGTATCTTAAAAGATACATAGCAATGCGACTGAATAATCTTGGTAGGTAGTTATAGCTGAAGTCACACATTTCCCATGTTATTCATTCACACGATTTCTACTTGCCTCTCTTCCCTACTTAAAGATCTTCTTTCCCGTCCTCTCTTACTCCATCTAATTCCATAGACTGGCATGTGGCTCCAATCCCATTTCCAGGCAATCCTGCTGTTTTAGCAAATTGAACTGCTTTCCTTCTGCTCCCCTCATTCCGTTCACTTTAAGAATATCAAAGTCACGTTATCAGTGTCTTTCAAATAGAAGAAATAAAATGGAACATTCATCTTGGCTGACACCTAATGCTGCTGCATTTTTCTTTCCATAATGCTTCAAAGAATACTTTCATTTGTTAGAGAAATTAATCAAAACTTCTGTCCTGGCTCTTGTTGTTTTCCATTTGTGCTGCTGTGAATCTTGACTATGAGGCTTTTTTTGTGGCTTTCTCATTCTGAATGTATTTGTGCCCTCTAGAGCCCTTTTCTTGCTTCACCCCTAAATTCACAAGGTTCTTTAATTCTCATCCCTTCAGCTCTTCCCTGGGAATCTTCCATGCTGTGTTATTTATAATTGTGGTGCTTGCTCTGGCAGTAGGTGTCCGTGTCTGGTGGGAGGGGACTGATGGACATCTCCATGCCCTTTCTGCGTTGCCATCTTCATGGTGGCTTCTCCTCTCTGAACTTCTCCGTCAGGCTGCTCTGCTTGAGGGTCCTTCCCCACCGCTTCCCTTCGCCAGTAGCTGCCTCTGACAGACTTTGAGCGAGGCCTGCCTTCCCGAAGGGTAGCTTTAGAGTTAGCATGGTGACTTTTCTGACCAGACGCACCGCAGAAATTTAACAGTTCTGTTCCTATTTTTCAGTTTTGACTGGCTTTGAAACACAAAACAAATATGAAATCAAGAATACACTGGGGCAAAGGGTGTACTTTGCAGCAGAGGACACTGACTGCTGTACCAGGAATTGCTGTGGGCCATCACGACCCTTCACCCTGCGGATTATAGACAACCTGGGCCACGAGGTGATAACACTGCAGAGACCCCTCCGGTGTTCTTCATGCTGCTTTCCCTGCTGCTTACAGGAGGTGAGTTGCTCCCTCTCACCATCTGCCTTCACGTGGGACACGGTCCACCCGTGCAGTTTTAAGATGGGGTTGTCTTGAATCAGGAGGCAAGGTGAAACAAGTCAGGTTTTGCCTGTAAGTTGTGGGGAGAGAGATCCTGTGGGATTTGTGCATGGGATCCTTGGTCTGGGAAGAAGCAAGTGTGCTGCAACAGTTAGATTCACGCTGGCCACTTCTGATTACAGTAACGAAAAGTTTGTTTCAACAGCATGTCAGGGAACTTGCGGCTAGTGCCGAAATCTGGGCTGGAGATGGACTTGCAATGTTAAGAGTTAGGCAACGGCTTTCGTAAAATAACGGCTAGAGTTTTCACTTTACTGCTGTGAAAGCTGTAATGAAATTCAACACGAGATGATGAGCTTTTTAAATATTAAAATAATTACGGGGTGATGCAACTTCTGAAACCTCAAATCTGAGCCTACTTAGAGTTCTTCCTGAGGCATTTGTAGTAGCTGCATCCTGTAATGTCTTCACTGAATGCTTTCAGGATGCTCACAGCCTTTCTTTCACTAGACTTTGATCTTTATACTGTAGATGCATGGCTTGTGTGCTCCACAGCCTTAGGAGTATCTTATTATTTTCAGTGAAGGCAAAAGTTGCGTATGAGCTCTGCAATTTGTGTGCCGTTTTCTGAAAACATTCACAGAAAACCCCATGCAGCTTCATGCATTGGAAAGCCAGATTGCTGTGGAAAAATAAGTTGTGGTTGGTCTGTGTGCTAGTGTGGGTTTTGTCTAACACGCGTATCAAAGCATGAACGTTCACGTGGAGGTTTTCTTTTTCCTGTGAAGCTGGAAGTTCAGGCGCCTCCAGGAACACCAGTTGGTTACGTTGTCCAGAACTGGCACGCCTGCCTGCCAAAGTTTACCATTCAAGATGAGAAAAGAATGGATATACTGAAAATTACTGGCCCGTGTGTTGTCTGCAGCTGCTGTGAGGACGTTCATTTTGAGGTATGCAATGCTAAAAATCGTTTGTATGTACCTTCTTTCAGATAGTAGTTCGATAGTAGTTTGTTGCTTGACTCATTGCCTGTCAACTGAACTGTAGTATATATTAAGTAATTAGTACATAATCTTTTAATGCTAGTATAATCAACTCACTTCTCTAGATACCTTGATTACTCTAGATAAGCCAGACAAAATTCCAGAAATGATGTCTTAAAGCCACTCATCAGTGATCAGTGAGACTGATTCCCTGTGGTTGCACACAAATTCTTAATTGAAATATTTAGCAGCGAAATCTTTTTGAATCTATTATATTAGGCCCTAACAAAAAAATGTTATTCGCAGCTGTAACAGGTATTTATTAAAATGACTTCCTACAACCACTCATTTAGTCATTTAATAATCATTCAATGACCAAGTAAATCAAGATAATTTAGACCTAAAATATAGATTTGAATGACTGAAGAGTTACAACTTTCACTTAGAAATTATAGTGATTAACGCATCATTATTTTCATACACATTAAGCAGTAGATTACACTAGTCAACCATTTAATATTTCAAATGATGTTGCAAATAGTTGCTAAAGCAAATTTAGTATAATTTTATTTTGGGGACTAGTCTTTCACATGACCCTGAAGACTGGATCTAACTTTAGGAAACATAATGTTGACAAAGGGCTAATCTCTGCTTTGGAACAGAAGAATGTAATTGGTTTAATTTTCACTTGAGCAGTTCCTGATACATGGCAGGAGAAACTAATTCACTCTCTTGGCTGAAAGACAACACTTCCAGCAGAGCGTGTGTGTGTGCGTGCGGCAGCTGTCTTCCAACACCATTAAACCATTGAACTCCGCAGTCAGATTTAGAATTAAGTTCATGTCTGTGCTACTTAAGACTGACTTTCTGATAGTCAGGGTTGCCTTTTGGTACCAACAGTTGCATTCAATGACTGCATTAATTCAAATAACACAACCTGAAGCTTTCAAATGGATCTATCATGAAAAGGATTTGGGAATATTATGAATGACAGATTTGGTTTTTTAATTTTATATTAAACTAGGTGAAGTCTGTGGATGAGACTTCTACTGTTGGGAGGATTTCTAAGCAGTGGACCGGGTTTTTGAGAGAAGCCTTTACAGATACAGATAACTTTGGAATCACATTCCCAATGGACCTTGATGTAAAAATGAAAGCTGTCATGATCGGTGCTTGCTTCCTTATTGTAAGTCTGTCATTCACTAATACTTGAATATGAACTGACTTTTTCATCTCCATGTTCAAATTGTGCTGGTCAAGGATTTGACTCTGAGCTCCCTGAAGTGGGCGACAGCTTGTTGTGAACTTCCTGTGTGTAAAACTAACCACGGAGGGCAACAAAGAATTATTTCAGATAATAAGCTTATCCTAGACTACAGGAAGTGCTAACTGTATTTAAGGAGAGCCTCATATGTGATGGGACTGAGAAACCCTGTAAAGGGAAGACTCCTTACAGACACATTAGCAGAGGCAAGCACGTTTGTGCGGATGGTGAAACCAGAAAAGTGCAGATCAGCAATAGCCAAGAGACCCATCCAAAGCCAGAGCTGCTCACCTGCTGGCTGAATGCTGCAGCCAGTTCCTCCCGACTCTCCTTCTTGGAAGTATGTGAAGCACTGAGCTGAGCAGGATTAAATGCTCTCAGAGGAGTCCTTTCCAATGGGAGGGACTTCTGTGGAGGCAAAGCACATCTAACTCGATACAGCGCTTTTCAGCTGCGCGCTGACTATGCCATGTCAAATACTGCAGTGCAGCTCGCTTTGCTCTTTGAAAACAGTGTGCGACACGCTCGTGTTTCCACTTACCTGTGCAATTCAGCATCAGGTACCATTTCAAAAAGTGCACTGCTTCTGTGCTGGCAGCGCTGCAGAGGGGGAGGAAAGGGGTATGTGAAGCCCCTTGAGTTTGGAAAGTTCTCACCAGCCTTTAACAGCCCTGTGCACGAACCAAGTTTTCCTTAGCCGTGTGTGTTCGTGTGCTGCCATGTGCATGAAGCACAGCGTTAGTGAGTGCGAGCAAGCCAGGACTCCTGACACAGAAGATCGGGCCCCCAGATGTAAACTGAAGATAGTCACCATTATATGGACTCCAGTTTGAGGTAAAATTGAAGGGACCGAGTCAGGTCGAACAAAGCCAGGGCAGGAATCCTGAGTAAAGGAAGAATAGCTTCGGCTAGTGATAATTTAAAGTTTCCACGTAGGTCTTTCACTGCCTCTTTCTCTCCCTGTGGGTGTCCTATTCTGAGAGACCCAGATGACGAGGGGATGGAGAGAGGTGCCCCGACCTTCTTATCATTTGAGGTTTCCGAGAGGAAGGTGCTTTGAATACCTTGCAAAGCAACCAGGAGATCTCTGAACTAAGAACCGCCTTTAAGAAGTATTTGTTTTGTTTGCTTTTTGTTTCTCTCTTAGGACTTCATGTTTTTTGAGCATAGTAACTAATAGTGAACAAGAGTTTGGCAATGGACTCTACAACTTTTATATAGAAGGAAGAAGAACATAAATCTCCCAACTTTCCAGTGGATTGCAGAGCTCCAGGAAGAATGTGAGAAACGTACATCTTGTGCTTGCAGTTATATTTCTATAAACTAAAAGCTTTATGGTCTTTTTTTTTTTTTTTTGTAATCTGATGAAATAAATTGTAGTATTCAAATAAGAACCCTTTGTCTGTACAGATGAATACTGTAATTTATAGAAATATATAGCTGCCTTTTTTCCCAAGAAATTTGGAATTGTAAAATAACTACTTGTAGTTACTTTAATTTCTAAAAAAGAGGACTACTTCTATATTCAATATTAATATCACCAATGAGCCTAATCAAGAGGTCCTGATCTTTTCCTGTGTATCCTTCTTTGGTAGTTTTGCCTTGGCGTTCACATTCTGTTGTTTCCAACTTCTTAGCAAATATATACGTTCAAAACAAAGAAATCTAAGTGAGCAGAACTATCAGAAATCACTGTAAAATTGTATTAATCTAGGGACAAATCTGCTGTCAAATATGACTCCTTTAGTGTAACTTAGTTTCATCATTTGGGTTGTTTTGAAACTTAAGGCTTTGATTTTCACCAACAGAAGTTTAGAGGAGACAGGAAATATAAATGCCTGTGGTTGCTTCTGTTTAATAATCCTTTAGTAATTGCTTTGTGCATGAGTGTGTTTTTTCCTGAGGCAAGGAAAAACTAGTTACTTACATTTCAGTTTCTCCAGTCCTCTTTCCTCTTCATTTAGTCCATGGTTTTCACAGATGGTAAGTCTTGTCTGTAGGTGTGAGGGCGCAGGAATAATAAACAGAACAATTCCACTTCAAAAGCAGACGCATGACATGGCATGCAATTCTTAGCATTTATAGCTTTATTTAAATGTGCAAGCAATGGAAAAAGCTGCAATTTCTTACCCCAGCTTCACACAAGCATGTGCATATAGCAGTTCTTGGGATCCAGCTATGGGGAGAGGTCCTTGCCAATATTTTCAGTTGTATTCTAGTTCTGCTAAAGATTCCTTTTGTTCAGTATTTTCAATTTATTGATTGCTCCTGGCCAGTCAAAAAGCAGAGGAAAAGAGGAGTGCCATTTCTGCTATGTACCTGGACTCTCTTTGATGTTATAAGAATTGTACAAACTCGTGACAACAATCTATACTGTTCTGAAAGTCTTTAAAGTTGGATATTATGCCTTGTTAAATTAGCTTCTGTTGCTAGAGACAAAATTCCCTGAATATGGTGTCTTTAGTAATAGGGATGCTGGAGGTGCATTTTTGATTCATCAGCACTATTCTTGGGGTATTAAATTATTGTTATTTTGAAAATATTTTGTGCTTTATTGACCAGCTATTAATGAGATACCGGAAATTCAGTCTTGGTAAAATCTGCTAAAAGTTTCTGATTGCTTCAATTAGGAATAGAAGCTACATGTATAGACACCAGAGTAACGCACCCAGGACCAGACCTGTCCTGTAGGGATTCATATGGCTAAGCCCATCAGTATTAATTTTCCTGCAAGGGGGGACACACAGCTTTGGTTCTGCCTGTAGCTCTGAAGTCCCAGGCTCAAGCACGTTCAATAGCTGCACTTTCAACAGAGAGCCGTTACTCAAATATCCCGTAAACATTTTTTTTGGAGATATTTGAAAATACCTGTTTAATTCCGTGGCAGGTCCTGCACAGAATTTCAGTTTACTTTTTGCATTAGAGTGAGGTCTGTTTGTGGCTGTTTGAAGAATAGATGGAATAATATTTTGCAAGTAGGCAAAACAGTGATACCTTTGCCTATGCTGAAAAGCATCTTGCATCATAAATTCATCCCTTGACAATAAACTGGGGAGTGTATGCAAATTTAAGTGAGGTATTAGGACCTTGGGCTAATGGGACATAACCAGGAGACTTTATTTTCATTCCTCCAAGTAATTCAAAATGTTATGTTCAAATGTTGTGCTTAAGTATTCACCGTAAGTCCTGGAAGCACTGTTGTCCCAACAACCTTGCATACAAAATTATGTAGAAAAATTCACATACATCTCTGTCAAGCAGTAAGAGAAGAATGTCAGAATGCAAACAGTCAAGAATGATCAGCTTCACATCAAGATGTGTCGGAAAAAAATCTTGCAACTCTTGTATCTTAAGTAGAATTGCAGTTGCAAGCAGTAACAATTCTGTAAAGTGTAATCAAAGCAAAGATATCTTTGCTTACAAACAAGGTTTCTCAAATACAGTGAAACCCAACAGGGAAGTTGTGTAAGTTGTGCTGTTGTCATTTAGATTTTTTGATTTTGTGCTGCTTGAGTCCAGTGGTCAAATTGCTACAGCTTATTTCTTTACCATGTATTTAGCAAAATTAGTAAATAAGGTGAAGAATTCGATAGCCCAAGGGAATCAGTATGTGAATCCAGCTACATAGTAAGGTGTAGAAGTTCAAGCTAAGCCTCTTAGATTTGTGGTATCCAGAATTGTGGTAAGAACAGGAAAAGAAGTTCCACAACCTCGGATCACAAAAGGACAGAGAGAGCATTGGACTAGGGGAACTTTCCATCAGTTGGGTAACTGGATAGCTCTGATGCTGGTTACACAGCTCATAAACTTTTGTTTTGTGAAATGGTTCACAGTCTCTCATGTGGTAAAAATATTGCATGAGAAGTCCTAACTAAAGCTATCAAGGGGTAACTCTTTAGTTAACCAAACAATATCTTATGACCTTTGCAATCTCTTTCACTTTTTCCTAATGATATTTAATTGAAAAATGCTTATTCCTTAAATTTTTCAAGAGCTTCTGGAGACAGCTGTACTCGCTCATTTCTGAAACTGATTGTGCTAAATGCAGAATAAATCATTCTTTGAGCTGTCTTTCTTCATTTTGAAAGAACCCATAACAGCATCCATATTTAATAAATCACCAGGCTCTAGAACTCTCCACTCTTCATCCATCAGACTATAAGCAATACAATGATTTATTCCCCTATCCATAAATCCAGGCTTTGGAAAGCATTAGAAGACTTTCAGCACGCCGCCTGTTATTCAATACCATCTCAGTTAGATAGAGCTGTTACATAAAACCTTTAAAGAGTGAGATTTGCAGATGGATTTCTCTAGTTCTGTTAATGACCTTTCCATCTGTATCATCCCTGTAAGTTTTTCATCTCCAGCTGTACAGGAGATGCAGTCACAATGAAACCCTAGGGTCTATACGGTACAGAAAGGCATAATTTATATGATGTTTCTCAGTAGAAAAGCATAGTTAATTCCAGTTTCCAGAAACCAAAATTATAAGTGTAAAAAAAAAAAAAAGAAAAAAAAAAAGTAATTTACTCCTTCTTTAGTCTTAAGCAAGATTGGGGTTTTGTTAATTGAGGAGAGAGGATAATTTTGCTAATCAGAGAAGAGGAGGAGCATTGTTTTAAAGTGTATTGTATACCGTTGGCCTCCTAAAAACATTTTAATTCATATTAGCAAAGTTCATAAAAAGGCCTCCTTGGGTCTTTTTGTAGACCCAAGGACAGCCCTTACATCCCTCACGTACCTCATCTTGGTTTTACTAATGAGAATAACTTTGCCCAAAAGCCGTCAGCAGGAGCAGGGACTGCACAATAAAAGGTGAGTCAGGGAAGGAGAAAGCAACTGGCTTTCCTGAACTGAATTTAGCTCATTTACTGGAGGTGCAGCGCTAACTCATTGGAAATGCTAGGGGTAATAAAGAAAATCGAATCTTTGTTCAAGGGGATGTATTGTAAAGTTGCATGGCTGAAGTGTTTGACTACTAATGGGCACTGTATGATATGAATGCTAATAATCTGTGGCAGGAATACTTACAAAATTGATAAATGGTAAAGGTAAAAGGATGATGGAGGGAGGGAGTTGTGGAATCAGAGGAACTTGCAGATAAGGGAACCTCTCACGACCAGGGCAAGGAAGCAGATACAGGTTGCATGGAGGGGAAACCACCAGTACAGCACAAGATGAAGAAGCCATGTCAAGCAAAAAGCAATCATGTGGTAAGATTTGATCTTAAAATTAGTGAGACAGGAGGTAAAAAAGGTATAAAAACCCCACAGAAAACAACAAGAGGTCAGAGGGAGAGAATAACAAAGAAAAAGGTGCAGCTCTCCCAGGGTGGAGGGAAGAGCCCAGCTAGTGGAGAATTCTATTGTGTTGGATCAGGGCTCTGTATGTGCTTTCATGACATAAATACTTGAACATGCTATGCTTATGTACTGGAACAGATTGCTCTAGGACTCTAGTAGCTCCTTGTCACCACTCACAGGGAGACTTCCATGCATTGCTGATTTTGTTCTGGAGAGACTTTATCCTCTGTTCTATGGATATATTTGACTTATCACTTGGTTTTGGTTTATTTGCATTTTTTCCCTGATAACACTACGTTATTAAAGACAGCAGCGAGGAGAAAATGCACATGAAAGCATTGCAACAAATACCAAAGAGGGAGAAGAGATGAGAACAGGGATTTACAATGACTCTCTCCTATTTTCAATGGGTGGCAATAGGTGGCAGTGTTAGCACTGGAATTTTTTTTTCACCGCTTAAAACCTCACTCTGCGATTCACAGGCAGTTTGGTTAGTTGTCATTCTGATTTTCTCAGTGGAAGAATTTCAGATTACACTATCTCCAAAGTATGTATTCCCTACATGAGTGTGGAAACCTAGATGTGTCTTTCCCACCAAAGCTGCAAAATCTTAAGCTTCAAATGCAATTACGTGCCACTAGGAACATGAAAAAATGTGTGTGAAAGTATGTTAAACTATGATTGATTTAAAAAACCTCACACAAATACTGTGTAATGTCCTTAAAGTTGCATTAGGCTTGGTAAATGGTAGAATTTGGAATTGGACTGTGATTTCTGACATAATTTACTACATAACGCAAAAAGTTATTAATATATCACAGCAGGGTACGTCAAAGCAAACAGGCTAATTTCATTGCTGGTTTAGTGTCACTGTTTTACATCCGAGGTGCATTTAGCTCCCTAGACATGAGATGGCTTCAGTGTGCGTGGCTGTGACGTGGACCGCAAGCACTGTGGGGCAGTGGGGGCGAGGGCGAGGGACAGAGGAGAGGGCGAGGGACGGGAGACCTACGGCCAGGCGGGCCTGGGAATCTGCTCCAGGCTTCCCCCTAGGCTTTGCTTGTGTTTTTCTTTTCTTTTCTTTTTTTTTAAATTTAAACTTGCTGCTCATGCCTCGGCTGGTTTAACCTTTAGCTGACCTAGTTATTGAATCAGGGCAGCTGGCAGCAGCTGAGGAACTCAGTATTTCTCCTTTGTTGATTGCCATTTACTGAGGAGCAAACAGAAACTGGTACAAGGCTGGGCAACACGTGCAGAGGGGAGCCTGTGC